GCGCGTCGTCCGTCGGGCGCATAATAATGGTTTAAGTTTCTTTCCACCGCTCTCTTTCCACCTCTCTCTCTCTCTTTCCACCTATCTTTTTCGTCTCTCCCTTTCCATCTCCTTCTTTCTATCTCCCTCTTTCCACTTCTCTCTTTCCACCTTTCTCTCTTTCCACCTCTCTTTCTTTCCACGTCTCTCTCTCTTTCCACCTCTCTGTGATTTTTTGCCAGCTTATTTATATTTCAGCTTTCTTTAAACAAACAACATTTTAAATATTTAAAAAAAATATTTTTGACATATTTAAAAAATATTTTAAGTGAATAAGATTTAAAAATACGAGTTTATACAGTAAGTATTTTTATTTCAACTTTCAGACAATGTTTTTAATGTTGAAATTAACTTCAATGTTTTAATAATCTGAACAGTCAGGGACCCAACGGGTCACGGGTAGTCTAGTATCATATATCATTGAGTACCTATGATGGTTGTTTTTTATCATGGTGGAGGGGTGTGCGTGGTCCAATGATTCTGAGAGCAATGCCGTCGGGATTTCAAAACTCCTGGTGAGGCCACCTTGGCGGTAAGTTCGAAGACGGGGACCTAAACTAAGCGCGACTAACCCAACAAGTGGATGATGATTACAACAGATCTCAACGGTCGAAACAGAGGGCTACGCATGACAGACTCGAGATTATAATAGATTCAGCGGCAGTTCGTTGCAGCTTCATAATTTGATGCTGCATGTCTCATTCCATATGTGCTGCGGAGGAAGGTCATGAAACGACTATATGGGTCGCTTCCTGCCAAGCTGAGGTCCACCTTAAACAAATTCATCCATCGGCACTTTCTTCTACCCTGATTTTCTTTCACCTTCAACCAACTCTTGGAAAGCCAAACGGCGATAAGGAATGGATGAAAGAAGCGATCAGCAAAGAACAAACTATATCCTTGTATACGAGATAATGCCAACGACAAAGACGATTATATCATGCATGTATTATATGACGCATTATTGTATCATATATGTATTATATCATTAAGATTCGAATCTCACCATGTCAGAAAGGTAAGTGGATGTTGGCGGCCTGGGGAGTCGATCCTAGCGTGCGGCACCTGTCGGTTAAATTGGCTAGACGGAATTATTTGGGAGCCGTCGATGGTTTTCTTAGCACGAAGTCACAAGTCATCGTGACCGAGGGTTTGAGTGTACTGGCCTTGTTCAGACTGCTGATGTTCGCGCCAGATAATGGGATCTCTCTCAGAAACTGTTGTAGCATTCCTACGGATGATAATGGGTATGTCCCCATTCCCATAAATACAGTAGTAAATGCTGTATGTTGGTCTGCAGTTGGAGATTCGTATCCAGCTGTGCTGGTCAGACTCGTCTGCCTATCCCCAGACGAGGTTATGTCGAAGGGCAGAGTCTTGTCTTGGGAAACAGCTACCCATCCCGTGTTATACGTGGTATACGGAGTATTTTTGGCCGAGCCTACGGGCTCGGATAGCCCATATTAAATTCGGCCTTGTGCCACATCTGATCACGTGATCCTGCAGTTGGAGATTCATTGTGGAATTTAATTGACTTACTTCTAGCAGTTGACTATTCCTTCTACGCGCCGCTGGCGAATCCTTTATGTGTTGTTCGTATCCTAAGTATTATCGTTCATTACCAACCTTCGTGTAGTTATTCTATTCAGTAACTTTTCCCTAGGTTACAACAGAAACTCAAAGACCCGCTCAAGATAGTTGCAATATAAACTGTCTAATAATCTGCCTGAGCAGGCATCTGCAACAGGGATTGGCTAGTCGCACTAGTAAACAGTTATACTCGGATACAGGCGACCAGTCATTATTATGGAGATTTTCTAAGCGTAGTTTATATGTGGTACAAGGCCAAATGTATGGGTTACCTAGTGATCCTCGACCTCACTACTCAGTTGTAATTGCTCTAGCAAGACAAGCTTGCTAACCATTACACTACGTCGAGGTATTTTCGGTCAGCCATTATTATTATTCATACATTTCAAATCGAAATAATCAACTTTAGCACATATATTGTGTTGGCCAAAAAGTACGTTCGTCTATTAAGTAGACCATTTATTTAATAAACCAAACGATCTCTTTGACTAACCCAATCATTTTTATCGATCCTAAAATGAATATTTCATTTCGTACATTAATATTAAAAAAAAAATCATCCAATATTTTATGAATACAACTTAAGATAGTTGTTCAAAGGAGCTTTTATGTGTGCAAGAATATTTCGATTTTTTTTATTCTCTACGGTAATGATCTAATAAACATCGATCGTCAAATAGGCTATAGCACGTCTCTGGAATAAATTACTGCTTTAAAATCATGCCAACTGTTCAGCGTCTTGACATTGTCATTTGGTTGGTTAATTCATATCTCATATTTGAAATTTCAAATGATAATTCCACGAATGTTTAAAAAACACTGTACATCAGAAAACTTGCAACAAAAAGACTGAAAATATCCACGTAAACATATTTGCAAGTAACTAATAGATAATTGTGAAAAAAAAAAATCTGACACAAGGTTTAATTTTAGAAGCATCAGGTGGCCATTATTAGACACTGCCCCCCCCCCTCGCGACAGTTTGCGAACTTATTTAGTTCTCGCGCCTATCATTAGTTTTGTGTCTACAGAATTACGTTATCCCTCCACCTGTGTTTTGGTTTTTCTCTAGGCACCACATTCACAAGACATAATTTAGCGAACACAGCACTAAATCTTTCAATGTGAACAGTTTTAAATATTAGCTATAGATAGTATCGAAGAGGGAAGACAAATTGCTTACTTTTCTAAGAGCTGATAATTTTGACTTCGTCACACAGCTTAAGATTTGTCAGGATTGATATTTTACATAGCAGTTCAGCTCTCTTTGTTTCTACCGAAACTTTCTTGTTTTTTAATACTCGAGTCTCTTCTTCATCTGCAAGGAAATTGTCCAGCATTCACTGCCATAGAGGAGGATTGATATTACATAGCAGTTCATATCACTTTTCTTTGTTTCTACCGAAACTTTCCTGTTTCTTAATATTCGAGTCACCTCTTGATCTGTAAGGAAAGTGTCCAGCATTCACTGCAATAGAGGAGGATTGATATTACATAGCAGTTCAGCTCTCTTTTCTTTGTTTCTACCGAAATTACTACCTCCTAGTGTGTCTATATATTTATCTTTTTTAGTTGTGTGAAATCAAGATGACAGTCTATCAGATAAATAAATCTCTCCGTCGGAGACTACATATTTTACCACCCGGATCCTGTGATTGAGAAAGTAAAAAACGAGAGAGTTTTTATACCCCTTTCTTTTTATAGTCCTAAATAGAACGTCACCTATCGACGCTAAGTGAAGTCCATTTGCAGACAAGGTGAGATAATCCACAAATTCAATTCCCGAACACTAAAATCTTAATCTCTTCGAGTCTAGGGTCAATCGTTATCTATCCTACATTTCCTCATAATCTGCACTTACTTCTTCCTCTTACGTCCCTTCAACACATTGAAGAAAAAGAAATAGGCGCTTGTAAGTTCTCGGCAAAACAAAGAAGAAATTAAAAAGAAAAACTGATGTTTGGTCATTTGGTTATATTTTGGGAAGTCGCTCGTGCCAAGAACAAAAGGAAAATACATTGAATCAAAAATAGTTAACGTCAATATACATAAAATGTCAATTGCGCGCGTAGAAACATTATTTGAATAATGGAACAAACAGACGATCAGACCATAATACACCAGTCAGTGTTGTATGTTCTTTATTCTATTTTCGATAGAATCTGTTTATACTGAAGGAGAGCTCCATTCATTTTCTTTCTTTACTGCCACGCACATACATGAGTAATTACGCTTATGCATGTATATATTCCTAGAAATCATTAATGTATATATTAAATTATACGCCTGAATATAACGTCTGTAAAAAGAGTATAAAAATCACTTTATTACATAAAGAAATGCAGTTATTAGATTGCCTGTACAGATGGCGTAATAGCCATTGGTGCAGAAAAATGAAATCGGTACGCTTAGATCAAATTCCAGCCGAGGCTGTTGCGTTTATATTTCTCTAAGGCTATTGAGTAAGAAGCATTAATCTGTCTCTCATCTCATCGTCTATTCTTTTTAATCAATTCACCCCCAAGTAAGACGATAATGCCACTAAGATAAAAGGAGCTACTAAGAGTAAGAGAGAATAAAAGTTGGCTTTAGAAAGAACTGGAAACTCAATTCTAAATAGGAAACAAGGGATAAAATTCTACTCCTGTTCAAAAGACCGGGGAGGAGTGTGAACCGGACGATAGGCGAACCTATCTACTCTTATACAGGAGATCAGGTTTGTAACGTTAGCAGTATAGAGTTGAAGTAGACTTTAGAAGGAATCGGAAACTTAGTCTTAAACAAGAAACAAGGGATAAACTTCTAGTCCTGTTTAAAAGACCGGGGAGGAGTGTGAACCGGACAATAGGCGAACCTATCTACTATTGAGGAAATAAATAAATAGTAAATAAGATTTCAGATTTTAGGCAGAGATGTTAGAAGTATAGCTTTGAATTAGATTTTACAAGGAACCGGAAACCCAATTCTAAACAGGAAAGGACAAATCTCCGCTCTTGTTAAAGGTAAAACAGTAAGCCAGACTAAACTCTCTAAGCATTGATAAGACAGACAATTCAGTAGAAGGACACCTTTGAATTCAGTCTTCTCTCCTAACACATCATGGCAAACATGATTGGTAATCAGCAATATGAGATAACCAACCCTATGACAACGTCAAGATGCTGAGCAGTTAACGCTAAAATTCAGCTGGAACGAACGACAACATTTTACATAGGAGAGCTTGAAAGTTTCTTCATCAGGCCCCCTTTTCAGATACTTGGGTAAACTGGCGCCCCTTATATTAAAATTGCACTGTTAAACCACGCTGAGTTGATGCAACAGTGTTAATGTCAAGTGTCTATGTGTTGTTGGAGCAAAGAATGAACACTTTTATGGTGGAACCTCGGGTTACGAAGGCCTATCATCACGAACAATTTCTTCCGAACAAAGAAGTCCCGGGAGACGAACGTCGTCTTAAGCGCCAAACACGCAAGCTGACGACAACGTGGACGGTTGTAGAGGAAATGCTTTTAGTGGGAGAGGTAGGAAGGGAGGATGATCCTTGCTGTTTGATCTTGCGAAATTTGTGCAAAATGGGGTGTGCTGCAAAATTTAGAGGAACGATACAACTCTGATGAAGCAGAATCAAGCCACGGCAAAAATACATTTTCACTGACAACGCCAAGTCTCACTTTAGAAACCTTTTAAAACATGGGCAAAAAAGAAAACTCAGATTTTTTAGCGAAATAAAGGCCCAGTGAGCCCCAATCAAAGTCGAGTGATGCTAAGAGACAGAAAAAAGAAAGAGAAAAAAACCCTAAAAAGACAGTTACCTGATGATTTTATGGAAGGGTGCTCTCCTTTCCCTTACACCATCAACATAGGTAAAAAAAAATCTCATAGGACAAATTTTTAGTGAGACAGGGGGCTCTCTTTCTCCTTAGGCCATCAACTATCCCTCGTACAGGTATGGTGAAATTAAGTTTTCATCTATATTTTATCTGTTTAATATTGTGTCTATCATTTACTCTATCAGATTTAATGATTTTCATTGGTTTTGTAGACAAACATGTGCACAAAGTCCTGTTGTGAAAGTTTAAATAAGCAATCATCTGGGGTCCATGAATGGATTAATCAATTTTACATTGATTCCTATGGGGAAAATAGTTTCGGTTTACGTACCTTTCGGGTTACGAACGGCCTTCAGGAACCTAGGTTCCACTGTATATACATTCGCAATCTCTTTTATTAAAATATATTACCGTTAAAAAGAGAATATCAGTATTATTATTATTATTATTATTATTATTATTATTATTATTATTATTATTATTTCCTTTGATTTCTGGCGTTTACACATTTCTTTCCGGGCCCCGCCCAGATACCTAAGGTTAGAAATGTCATCATAAAACTTTCTACTGACAGAAAAATATTATTATTGTTGTTGTTGTTGTTGCTGTTGTTGTTGTTGTTGTTGCTGCTTAACTTTTCTAAGTTTTAATTTGTTTATCGATTTTACCACCCGGTACAGGTGTGGAAAAATTAAATTAAGTTTTCGTCTATATTTCATCTGTTTGGTATCGTGTTTATCTTTTTTTTTCCGACAGATTTTCATTGGTTTTGTGGATGAACAAAGACATGTCAAATTTTAAATAAGCAATCAAATTCCCGTCGATTCTGTTTTGTTCACTTTGCACTAATGTCCTTGGAAAATGCATGTATACATTTTCCTCTAGTTATTTGTTAAATATCAAGGTAGACTGGTCTCTCTTGCCTTGGATGGTAGTAAATCTAGGTAAAAGCAAATTCTGAATTCCAAACCTCTTAAATAATAGAGCAGACTGGTTACACTTATCTCGGTAGGGCAACGAATCAGCGAGAAGGATATCTCTGAATTCAAAACAATCCTGAAGGGAGATAGCCACTGTGAGATTATCTTGTCCTTTGCTGCTATAGCTGCAGTACATGTGGCGGCACATGGACCTTAATGAGTTAAGGGTTTCATGATTGTATGATCGAATTTTAATCATGAATATTTATGTTGAGATAAGATTGAATAATATAATCTGATAGCCTCGAAACAATGCATAATCAATATTGCTTTTATAAAGATGGATCAATATCATTATTGATTTTATAAAGATAGATCATTATCAATATTGTTTTTATAAAGAATGATATTAAATGCTGAATCCCACACCGCATGTATCCATAAACATTAGTATATTATGAAAATTAAAAAAAAGGTTAATACCAATATCATTGTGAAAACAATTATTTGCATAATAAAATTTTTACAGCGTGTGTATGTATATACGTATATACATATATAATTAAAACGAAAGGGGGTGTCTACGCGTGCTTCTTATAATATGTAGATTTAACAGGACGGTTAATAAAATTTGAAGAATAAAAAAACAAAAGAATGATCCCAATATTTCTCTTCGTGCTTTAATTTAGTCAAAAGTTTAGTTTATAATAAATTTCATTTTTATTGCCCTCGCCTAAAATATTCTTCCAGAAATATTCGTTCAAAAATTTTGAAAATACCAGCGTCTCTCGTTTTGTGCCCATGTGTAAACGTGGCAACATCAACAAAGCCCAGTCCGATGAAAGCCTAACGAATGAAACACGTCACAAAAACTTGTTATCAGTTTGTTATACTATTTTTATAAATACTGTTTGTTGCTATATATATATATATATATATATATATATATATATATATATATATATATATAATATATATATATATATATATGTACGCGTGTTAGTAGGATATAGAATCCGAATAAAAGTGGAAAAAATCAATCGAAGAGATTTTTATTGACAACGCGTTTCTCCTTCGTTATGTAGTGAGGCGTCTTCAGGTCAGAACGAAAGGCAGGTAGATGTATTTTTTAAAAAAAGTAAAACCGTTAAATTGCTAGGTTGGCGTCTCCCGGTCGGAATGAAAGAACAAAATTTCGTCTTTTTTTTTCTTATTTTTGTATATGCATATATGTTCTCAGTCAATTTAATGCATATTTTGGTAAATATTACCATAATCAGTTATATATATATATATATATATATATATATATATATATATATATATATATATATATATATATATATATATATATATATAAGCATATATGTAGGTGGCCTGACGATTGTGTCTAGCATGAAACAGACTGTCGCCTCTAAGTATTGACTTCAATGTTCACTTTCATATCTACACACGCTCTATCTCTGATATTGAGCACTTTATCCCATAAATATAGCACACCTTAAAACTATATTCCTTCATATATATATATATGTATGTATATATATATATATATATATATATATATATATATATATATATATATATATATGCATGTGAATATATAAATATATATATGCAACTTTTTTTTTCAATTCATTTTGTATATACATATGTGTGTGCATCTGCATGTGAATATTTGTGTGTTTGTATATATATATATATATATATATATATATATATATATATATTCACTTTTTAATTTATTTCATTTTTTTCTATTTTCAGCGCTACCATGCGTAAATAAAAGAACCAATTACATGTAAGTCACTTTGGCTTTTCCCTCCACACACATTACACACACATATATACATGCATATACATATATGTGCGTGGGTGTGCGCATATATTCGAGTTCTCGGCCCGATCAAGAAACCCTTCCGAAACAAAATCTAATGTTTGGTCATTTCGTCTGCCAGAACCCCGATCACGAATGTCCGGAGTAATAAGTATAATATACCCGGCTCCAGAGAGGCATAACCAATAACCCCCGCTCTACCCGAAAGCATCTCTCTGTCAGACCAGTAGGGTCAGTATCATATTTATTGGGCCTCCCATTCCCGACACTTTCCTTTTGTCACTCACTACCCGACGCGGTTTCAAATTGGTCTTCGTATGGAGGATGATAAGTAAAATACATACACGCATACACACACATTCACGCGCGCACACACACATACACACACACATATGCACATCTCGTGTTCTGCTGCATATGCAAATTAGTAAGGATGTGAATGCATCATTATTTATAACTTTGTAAACTCTATCTCTTGCACGCCAATAGAAATGCATACACGATAGTATAATACTTTTTAGATTTTTATTTTGTGTATATACGTTTGTGAGACGCACTTATAAAATGTCTAGAGGGAGCTGAACAAAAAGTCTATTCATGACAAAGAAAGAGATATTTATACGCAAACAAAAAGTAGTCTGATGACGAAGTATAAAGTGAAATGGTTTTAATGATATTTTACTGCATTTGTTCCGCCTGCATTCAATAAATAATAAACAAAATAAATACATCAAATATATTCTGGCAAAAACACTCACGTAACAGGAACATGATTTTGTAGCCCTGTTGACGAAGTCCAACTTCCTTCTATCTATCTATCTATCTATCTATCTATCTATCTATTTCACTCTAATCTATCTATCTATCTATCTATCTATCTATTTTCGTCCTGGACATAGCGATAAACTACACCCGTGAGATTGGAGGTTTTGATGAGCGTGGATCCACCTCTTAATTGCTGTTGTTCCCCGGTCCACCCTGATCTGGGGTGATAGCACCTGTTAGGGTCCCAGCTATGGGAAAATAGTGAACCCCCAAATAAAAATCAACAGTACATTTATATAGCAAAACGACAATCAATACAACACTAAAATATATGACAATACATATTTAAAAAAAAATTACCAACAATACATTTTTTTAAATTGCCAGCATTTTATCATCTATAGACTATATATCTAAAAAAAAACATACACTGAAAGTAAAAAACTATGTACAAAATATTTGTAGTTGAAAGCATAAAATGTGCGTACAAATACTTAGATTTCGGCATTAAGTAGCCCATAAATGTTGATATGTCACTAAACAAAAACAACGAAACCATCTATCTCATTCTGTTCATATCTATCGATGTCATTCTGTTCATATCTGTATCACTCCAAGCAAGGCAGTAAAGCCACTAGAATGCAAGGGGGTTACAGGGTGTGTAGGAATTAGGAACAGAAACATTAACGATGAGCAGAAAGAGAAGAGAGTAATCAGGTGGACAATAGATAGCGATTGACATTGCATTTAAATTTTGGCAGATTAAAGCAACGACGAGGTACGGATCGCTCAGGAGGTTTTTTTATATTATTTTTTGGGTGCAGTTTCCGTAGTTTCACTCTTGGTTTACATATAACTGGCCGATGGTCGCTTCCGAGTCGGCACTTGGGTAGGTTTTGCAGTGAACCATTGCATACCTGAATCTTTTGTTGATAGTTATGTAGTAAATTTGGTTTTTAGTTTCTCCTCCTGGGTTTCTCCCTGTTCATAATCGTCTCAGATGTTCTTGAAACCATGTGTTGGCTATTACCTGGTCATTGGCCGTGCACCATTAGATCCATTTTTTCCACGTTCGTTGCAGGTTCCTAGTCAGAATTTGCCAGCTACATCCCCTGTCCTCTCCCTGCCTACTTTGGCTTTCAGGTCTTCCATGATAATAATGACTTCTTGTGATTTACAATGAGCCTTGGCATTGTCTAGCATGGAGTAAAAAGATACGAATTATACTTCCTTAATTTGTGCTGTCGGTGCATACACTACTATGTTAGCTATGTTGAAAGGCTTTCTTTTCAGCTTGACTATCAAAATACTCCGGGCAAACATGCAGTCGTATAGCTAATCATGTCATTAAATTCACAAGTGATGTTATTTAATAATAGCTTAATATAAGTTTCTAAATTTCTATAATGCTGCTGACATAGGAGAGATCCACAATTAGTGTGCCAGGAGTGTATTTTATGAATTATTATTACTTGATTTCTGTTTGTCCAGCAAAGGGGATAATCCAGCACAGTTTTTACACCAATAATATCGGAAAATCGATGGTTTATCTCTTGTATATAATTCGAGTTAGTAGTTTAACAATGTTTACAAAATCAGTTTAATAATGTTTTCGGGAAAAGTGATTCCGAGTGTCAGCATTGAATCATGTCAACACGGAAATATTTGATATTTTAACGTTCAGTTCACCTCGTCACGGCCCGACGTCAGGAGTCCCATGAGTCATTAGGGTCGTTATTGCGTTATAGGTACTGCAACTGTTGTGCCAGTGGTTGTGTCTAGAGAAAGACACCCTGGCGGAGCCCCACCCTCTTCAGGCTTGTTTTCAATTCAGAGTTGTCTTTTTTTTCCTAGACTGGTTTCCCTAATAAGGATTAAGGATCCGGTCTATTCCGATTATTTACTGGGATTTGAATTCAGAATTAACTTTGTCTTGGACTTGTTGCGCTACCAAGGCTAAAGAGACCCGTTTGCTCTAGAGTTAACCTCATATTTATTGCACCATTTGTTGTCCAGACAAAAGAGAAAATATAAATTTTCCTTCGTGTTTTTTTTTGGCTTAATCGAACGTTGACTACTAACTGGAATGTTAATCGGTATTACTTTTATTCTCTTAACATACGCAAGGATTCATCTACAACGGTGGGTCACGCTATGGGTGTCTGTTGACACGTTTCCAAGGCAATGGCGAATTGGTGTATTTGGAATATATCGTTTTGTACAGGAAGATAACGTTGCGGTAACATAAAAGAATTCTATTGCTCCATTGTCCTTTAATGGATAAAAATCAAAACGACTGTTGATGTAGTTGGCCTGCTGATTTCGAAGAGAAAGAGGGCGGGAGGGAATTACCAATATGTTACAGGCGTTGATGAATTTTAAGATGACATTTTCACTGTACGATGTATATGATTAATTGAGTTAGGAGTTATCAAGTTAGGAGGTTATGCGGAAAAATAAATTTAATAAAATACGATTCTTTGAAAGAAATTCATTGTTCCTTGTTAGACAATGGACTTGCTGATATATCAATGTATATTACGAACATACACGCACACACACACACACACGCGCACATCTATATAGTGTGTGTGAGTGTGGTCATGGGAATCAACACAGCATGGTGAATGTCATTTTCACGTTTCGATGCGATCATCTTGGTCTGAGGATCGCATTGAGGCGTGGAAATGACAGACAACATGTAGCGCTGATGCCTATGTCCACACTGTTTAAACAGACACACACACAGACACACAACCAAACACACACACACACATATTCATACATGTTTCAGTAAATAATATAGACAAGTGTTGTCTATTTTATGTAAATTCTTTTCATAATGTCTGATAAGCTTAATAACATTATCCTTAAACGAAGAAAATCATAATATTGATACATATTTTTTTTAATCCTATCTAAGCTTTCGTTTTACATAAGCCATTATCAAAGATGACAATTACAGTACAATATATTAAGCAATACACGGACAAGAATGTGATGATAGTCTGTTTCTGTTTACATGGATGATTTCCAAGCAACAATAAACATGTGCATATAAGACGCTGGAAGCGAAAATCGCACCGCAGCTCATGACGTCACACATGACCACGCGAGAGTGAATTCGAGAAATATCAAGTATGTGAAACCGTTGTTATAAACCAATGGCTTCTGTTACCAATTATAAGCATTTAAGAATATTTGTGGAGATTTCATAGTTTATTTTGTTCAGGTTAGGTTTCAACTGTTTTATGTTTTAGCTTCAAGAATTTTGAGTTTTTGTTTATTGTTTTCATGTTGAAGTATAATTGTGTTTTCAACAAGGATTTTACGGAATTGTGTGTGTGGCCAGGCATGTTGTTTTAAATGCCTAAAAATGTTAGAGTTTTCATTCAAATGTAGTGTCAAGCGTCGTGAAAGCGAGTTTGTGCTGTGACCAACATAAATATTATTTAATTCCTTAGAGATACAATCTCTCAAAGGGCACTTGAATTTGTAAACTATGTTGTTTTTTTTGCAAATCGCTAACCGGGGGAGAAGAATCATTGCGAATAATTGAGTTGGATATACTAGATTTAGTGTAGTATATGATTAACTTAATTTTTTTTTCTAGGATCTGTTGTAGATATATTAGTATTTACTAATTTTTTTAGTATATTTTCATCTTGTTTATAATTAGTATGCATTTGATTACGATATAGGAGATTAATATGTTTGAGATTAGTAGAAGCATTATTATGTACTATTTGCTTAGTATTGAGATTTCTAAGAAAGCATTTTATTTGTTCAACTATATAATTTGGAAAGCTATTATTAATAAGTGTTTGTTTTATATTCACTGTAAAAAATCCGTTTTGTGGATGAATTAGTTTCTGTACGATGTATTAGATTCTTTATAATTGCAGGTTTTTTGTATGGCGAAATAGTAAATTTGTTATTATTTGTGTTCATCAATATATCAAGGAAGGGAATTTTATTATTAGTGTTGAGTTCATACGTGTATTTAAAGAGAGAATTATTTTGGAAACGTTTTTGAAATTGAAGTATTTCATCTGTATTTTTAACTAATATAAGAATATCATCAATGTATCTTAGGTAGATGGATGGTTTTTTACAATTTGTAAATATCTTATTTTCGAGGTTCGACATGTAAAAATTGCTAAATGTCAGACCCAGTACGGAACCCATAGAGACACCATCACGTAGTATGTATATATATTATTATGATCGAAGAAAGATATTGTACTGTAATTGTCATCTTTGATGATGGCTTATGTAAGCCGAAAGCTTAGATTGGATTAAAAAATATGGATCAATACTGTGATTTTCTTTCTTCGTTTAATGATAATGTTATTAAGCTTATCAGACGTTATGAAAAGAATTTACATAAAATAAATAGACATCACTTGTCTATATTATTTAATGAAACATGTATGAATGAAAAAATTCTGCCTAAATACACACAATATATATATATATATATGCATATATATATATATATATATATATATATATATATATATATATATGAGGGTGCGCACTGGGATCAATACTGAGTGGCGACAGTTTAAACGTAATTTTCATGACTTGAAGATTGTGACTATGCATAAAGCAGACTGTCGCCACTCGGTGTTGACCTGACTGTGCACTAACACACACACACACACACACACACACACACACACACACACACACACACATACATACATATATATATATCTGATAATTGAGCACACTTGTATCGTCCCTCGTACGACGATGGCCTAGGGGTAAAATATCTGACTGATGTCAAATCAGTCGGGTATCGATCCCGGCATGAAGCAGTCGGACATCTAACCACACTGGGGAGCTGTAATAAAGCAAATCAGTCTTTCTGTGGATGACTATATGTATATATATATATAATTCTAAATATGTGTGTGCATATGATCGGATGTTTTTATGCGATTCCACAGTTTTCATCCGATTTCGATGAATTTTTTTTTGATTCGTAGATAATTCTTCAGTGTCGGTTTTTGGTCTAAAATTACAACCTTGAAGGTGAAAAATCGAGAAAACTGATGTTTTATACTATGAGAAAAAAATCAAAGGCAAAATTTAATGTCTGTAAAAACAGCGTAC